ATAATTATTTTAATCTGAGGAGTAATTCAATTTTTTTTTTTTTTTTTTTTTTGAATAAATCCACCAAAATGTTAATTACCAATGAAGAGAAATCATGACCGAAACAGAATACTACCCAAGACATAATGAAACTATCTTACACTAGATATATAAAGGGATTTTGACACTAAAGCCTGCTCTATCAATTACATATATATATGTATGTGTGTAGTAATTTTGAATATATTTCCTGTATATACAAAATATAATTGAAAATGACATTTTTTTGGCATTTCAAATTCAACAAGGAATAAAAGCAAAAAGCGTTCAGTAAACGATGGTTATCAACTGGTCATATGTAGTTCAATAATTTTAATATAAACGACGTCATATTTTCCACATTAGACAACTAGTACTATAATAGTTTACTTACAGAAATTTCAGGTTATAAAAATCAGTATTTGATGTCCTTTCTTCTTTTTTTTCGAACGTCATTTGTAACGGAAAAGACTACAATAGCCACAGATCATGTATCAAATAAAATAAGGCAGTATGTAGCTGTTTCGGACAAAGATTGCAAAAATACATCATCTGAACAGCATTCATAGAAAGAAAGGTTAGTTTCGAATTCTATTCTGGTAAACAATAGGAAAGACTGCACATGAAAATCTTGCAAATATTATGATAATCAAAATGTCTTACCTTGTAGAATTCTACAAATAAATAAGCAGAATAAATATTATTAATATTTGTTAAAGATTCGCTGTTAATGAATCCCTTTTCAGCATTTGATCCACCCCATAATTTAACCTTACATTTGACCGTTCGGTATTATACAAATCAATTATAAATAATAATAATAATAAAATAAATCTCCACGCTCGATTTAACTTTATTTTTATTTAGAATTAACATTATCAAGGGAAATATTTTAATAGTTTTCTTTTTCAATCTAGATTTGAAACGTTGATATTTGCTGAGTTTGTCTTACTATGACTCTAAGAAAAAGTAGTCGGGAAGATAACCTTATGCTAATTTTACGAGGAAGTAGAGATTTACTTGGTCCCAACTCCCCACTGAGTCAGGTTGTGACACAAGGTCAGTTTTTAACGTGGGGACCCGAGTGTTTACACTCGGGCCGTTGGTCAGAGCTGGTCTAAGCTAGTCATAGCTGGTCAGAGTCGGTCCAAGCTAGTCGTAGCCGTGATACCACCAGCACATGGACGGAGCCCTGGGCTGGGTGAGTATAATTTTATGAGGAAGTATATGCCTCTCTTCTCAACTCAACCCTCTGTATTAGAGACGCCACGCGTTCTTATCAATCAGCAATGTAAATTTCCATATTATGACATACTGTTAATTCGTCTTCATACCACTTCTGCTTGTTACTTTGAAGCGCTGACCATTTTAGGTTATTGTCATGTAGGACAGCGGAATTTGAGCAAGAGTACATCTGGAAAATGAAAATCTCACATCGAAATTCCGATACGGCAGTCACCTAAAGAAGGTCGGAGAGTTCACTGGCCGATTCTTTGTGAATATGACAATCAAGATAAAGACAACATTTCGAATAAACTGAACATCCTCCAAAATTAGAAACAGTTACTAAATAACGCATAATTTCCCTCTTCGTTTGAATAACGGCGGCTACGGAACGTAGCATGGAATCTACGACATGTGGAAGTGATTTCGCGGCAATATTTACATTCTAGGACTGAACATAAGTGATTTAGGTTTGTTGGGTGTGGCTTCAGGGAGTCTGCAGTATCTTTCATACAGGTCCGTATATTTTTTGTTTTTCCTCAATAGGAGTAGACAATTTCGCCTCTCGTCCGGTTCACACTCCTCCCTTGTCTTTTGAAAAGGAGTATAGGTTTATCCCTTGTTTTCTGTTTAAGGCTGGGTTTTCGCTTTCTTCTAATGTCTTCTCATCCTCTTTCACTCTCAATAGGTTCTTGCACCTTATTGGCATTGTAGCCTTGCTTGGGGTGAATTGATTAAAAAAAAGTCTCAATAGATTTTACATAATATATGTTGGGAAACAAGTAGGGATATTTAACCGCTGTTTTCGTTCGAGCCAGCAGATTATGCTGCTGCTACTAGCAACACCAACATAGTAACGATAGGTTAGTATGATAATGTAACGAAAGGGGGTTACCAATCATAACAGCATTCTCTAGAATAGCTCAACAATCTCAAAACAAATGGATTTTATGTCACATCAAATTCTATATATAAATATAGAACTTGTGTCACACCAAATTCTATATAGAATTTATGTTACACCAAAATTTATGTATAAAAATATATAATTTGGTGTAATGTAACCCCACTCCATCAAAAAAAAAAGAAACAAACAAACAAGTCTTCCACGAACTACTAACCTACAAATGTGAGTGAGAAAGTGAGTGACAATATGTTTCTTTAAATACCTTGTAATGACATTAGGTTACAACTTTCTTACGAGAGTCTAGTTTGTAGCGGTGTGGTCTCTGGTCTCGTTAGTTAAAGCTGGATATGATATTGTTTTGAATGGAGATATACGAGGTCTGTCTGAAAAGTAACGGGACTGTGTGAGATGTGTGAACTGGGGGGGGGGCGAAAGTGGGATAAGCAGATTGTGTTATCATCTAACATGATATATTGGCGGAAAAACTGTAATCTGAGCATTTATTTCGCTCAGTGCGCAGGAAGAGACGAGAGTTGTGGCAGGACAAATCGTGGTTGCTTCACAACAACAATGCACCTACTCACAACGCCTTGAGCATCCGGCAGGCGCTGGCAGCGAAGAACATCGCCGTACTCGAACAACCTCCCTAGTCATCTTATCTTGCTCCGTGTGATTTTTTTTCACCTTAGCTTAAGGGGATCATCAAAACGTAGAGGGCGGTAAAGACGGAGCCGAGGAGAATCCAAGAAGAATCCTTCCCGTAGTGCATGGGAAAGTGCATTACACTTGAAGGTAGTTTATGTATTATGTAGTTTACGTATTTTGGAATTGAAATAAATTGTTTGTGACACCAGTCCCCTTATTTTTCAGACAGTCTTTGTATGTTCATGTAATAGGTTGTTAAAATATTGTGGTACATTGTATATGATGCGCCACGTGGTTGGTTTGGAACTAAAACGTCTGTGTGCCCGGGGGTTAAGAAGTCTCCTGGAAGGGGAAGGAGACACGTCTTATCCCTACGGCATTCTGTGGCTAAATAACAAAAGAAGAGAATGTGAGTGTGTTTGGGTCCTTCCTCATACAACGCCACCTCGTCGACGATAAGAGATGTCGCCTGATAGACAAGATGGATTTGTCTGATAATGAGTTAAAATTTAAATTTAATTAATATTCGGATTAGTGCTGAAAGTTGATTACAAATGCCTGGATTAATGATAGTCCAGTAGCCACAATGTATCAATTGTAAATCAATACAAGATAGTTATCATTTATTAGCAGTAACAGATGTCATCGTATAATTCATGGTGTGGCTTGAAAGTAAGCTTTATCTGAGGAATCAGAAATGTGACTGACAATGTTAAATCCACGTCTAAGACTTTTCTATAAATACTTTCATGATAAATGTTCTACTGAACTTTCATCTTTGTTCCCTAGACTTAATGAATTTAAGAGCAGTACTAGATTGGCGGCAAGGTCTCATCATTTTACAGCTGAAATTAATAGATGCAACCGTAAGTTCTATGCTAACAGTTTCTTCTCTCGCACTTCTCGCTTGTGGAATTCTTTTCCGACTTCTTGCTTTTCCAGTCAACTTTGATCTTCAAAAATTTAAATGCAATGTTAATCATTATAATCTGTCTTTTTAATTCACGTTATTTTATTGTCCTCTCTCTCCAATATCTCTAACACTCAGTAACCTCATGCTTCCTAGTGGTTTTATTGCCTTGCTTGGCGTGAAATGATAAAAAAAAACGTATTAGAATAAACCAGAACATATACAATATCAATCGTTATCTTCCGTTTTCTTAATTTCTTTTCTTTTATTTTTCTCTCTCAAGAGTGTTTTTCTTCTAATATTCTTCTACATTCACTACCCCCCCCCTTTGCGTCTTAGTGGCTTTATTGCCTTCCTTGGTGTGAGTTTTTTAAAACACAGCTCTAGTTTGGTGTATCCTCGTGGGGTATCTTGGACGATCATTAATGCAATTTAGTATGTAAGATTGTCACTGAATGATCAATAATTGTACCTTTGTGCAAAGATAATCTAAGCATTATAAATAACAACAACGGTTTAGTTTTGGAATGAAACTTAGCCATTCTTCCTAAATTCTTGTATCCTTGTTTTCTGTTTATATCATCAAAACAAAGACTATTCTTCTTTTAATGTTAAAACCTTTTTTCAAGTGTTCCTTAAATATCAATTCTTCCAAGCAGATGTTCTTTCCCTAATCTTTTTCTTTGTTCTCTCTTGTTCTTTTTCCAAATCTTTTCTCCTTTATATATATATATATATATATATATATATATATATATATATATATATATGTAATTCTGGTCTAACTATTTTAACTTGCTCCCAGAGTGTTTTGATTCGCATGGTTTTCATTGGTATCCACTTGCCATCACCCCAGGGGAGCGCCCCACGCCCCAGATCTCTTTCAAACACTCATTCTAAACAGTAAACCACTGCCTCATCTACCACCCAGCCTGTGTCCACAGTCTCCGCTTTTGTTTCGCATTGTGTGGTCCTCGTTGTTATTATCTGTTCTCTTTCGACCATGTCTTGTCACTACCATGTTGTCTGTTCCAGAGCTTGGATGGGCGGATGAAATGGAGAGAAAGCGAACAGAGAGGGGGGATTTCTGAAACTTTACCTATATTCCTTTCCTCCAGCACGCGCAACAGTGACATTACCAACCATCGACGTTGCTATTTTATCCAGTACTTCGCATCATAATAGACATCTTGGCAAATTACTTGACATTATATAGCCTGTCTTCATTTTGGCCACAATGGCTACTTTTTTACGCTCTTGAAATGTCTTGGTTTGGTTTTTTCTTGTCTATATTTAATGCATTTTCTTTCTTTTCTAGTCTCTTCCCTTCGTTCTTTTTCTCTTTATATTTTTAGTTTTAGTTTTCTTTCATTCTTTCTTGCCACATCACCCCACTTTCATTCTTTCCTTCCATATCTCTCCTCTTTCATTCTTTCCTTCCATATATCCTCTTTCTTTTTCTTCTCACATCTCTCCACTTTCATTCTTTCCTTCCATATATCCTCTTTTCTTCCCACATTTCTCCTCTTTCATTCTTTCCTTCCGTATCTCTCCTCTTTCATTGTCTTCGCACAATTCTCTTCTTTCGTTCTTTCCTTCCATATCTCTCCTCTTTCATTCTTTCCTTCCATATCTCTACTCTTTCGTTCTTTCCTTCCATATCTCTCCTCTTTCATTGTCTTCCCACAATTCTCTTCTTTCGTTCTTTCCTTCCATATATCTCCTTTCTTTTTCTTCCCACATCTCTCCACTTTCATTCTTTCTTTCCATATATCTCTTGTTTCATTCTTTCTTTCCATATATGTCCTCTTTCATTGTCTTTCCTTCCATATCTCTACTCTTTCATTCTTTCCTTCCATATCTCTACTCTTTCATTCTTTCCTTCCATATCTCTACTCTTTCATTCTTTCCTTCCATATATCCTCTTTTTTTTTCTTCTCACATCTCTCCACTTTCATTCTTTCCTTCCATATATCCTCTTTTCTTCCCACATTTCTCCTCTTTCATTCTTTCCTTCCGTATCTCTCCTCTTTCATTGTCTTCGCACAATTCTCTTCTTTCGTTCTTTCCTTCCATATCTCTCCTCTTTCATTGTCTTCGCACAATTCTCTTCTTTCGTTCTTTCCTTCCATATCTCTCCTCTTTCATTGTCTTCCCACAATTCTCTTCTTTCGTTCTTTCCTTCCATATATCTCCTTTCTTTTTCTTCCCACATCTCTCCACTTTCATTCTTTCTTTCCATATATCTCTTGTTTCATTCTTTCTTTCCATATATGTCCTCTTTCATTGTCTTTCCTTCCATATCTCTACTCTTTCATTCTTTCCTTCCATATCTCTACTCTTTCATTCTTTCCTTCCATATATCTACTCTTTCATTCTTTCCTTCCATATATCTCGTCTTTCATTGTCTTCCCACATCTCTCCACTTTCATTCTTTCTTTCCATATATCTCCTCTTAGATTGTATTCTCATACCTCTTCTCTTTCATTCTGTCTTTTCAAATCCTTTCATTTATTATTTCTTTTTATATTATTCTTTTATGTGCCGTGTCCCTTCCAGACGTAGTCGATCATGGCTCTCCATTTCTTTCAGTCCCTTGTAGCTCTCAATAACTTTTCTCTTTTTGTGATTTCTCCTAGACCCTGTTCTGCCATCCACTTGCTTAAGCCTGTTAAGTATATAACGTGTTGCTTTCCCTTGTCCCTCTTTCCCTCTATCCATCCTGTGAGTATCGGATTTTCGAAGCCCTCTTTTCTCATTACGTGTCACAGAAATCTCAGCCGCCTCTTTCTGATGCTAAGTGTAAGTTTCCTCCTTGTGTGCATCCTCTCCAAAATCTCATCTTTGCTCACATGTTCGGTACATGTTATTCTTAGCATCCTTCTGTAGAACCACACCTTTGCTGCCTCGAGTTTCTTCTTCATCTTTGAGGAGATCGTCCAGTTTTCCTTGACGTGAAGGAGGACAGATATCATGTCTCCTTATTTTTTTCTTTTTCTACACTTTCTTTCTGTATTTTTTCTTTTAGTTCGTTTTTGTCATGTATCTTCTTGTTTGTTTTCCTCTTCCTTTTCCTTTTCACAGCTTACACTCTCTTTTTCTCTAGTTCTTTCTTTTCGTTTCGTTTTTATTTTCCATTCTTTTCTTTCAATATTCTCTCCTCAGTTTCCTGCTTTTACTTTTTGTATTACTTTTTCTTTTCTTACTCAACAGACATTTTTAGTTCTATTTAAGATTCCTCTTTTGTTATGTTTTACTTTTCATTTCCAACTTACCTTTTCTCTCTTTTTGATAACTCTTTTATTTCCCATGAGAAACCCTCTATCTCAACAATGAAAAATCCGTCGTCTTTTGGATTGCTATAAAAACTTCTCATCAAGAACACAGTTCTATTTTTAAGCAGATTAATTAAACAGAATTTCTCGTAATACTATTCTCACAGATTTCAAACCAAATTCGAAATTCTTTGCAGTAAAAAAGGATTCTATCAGATGAAATTCCAATAAAGATTACCAAGTCATCCATTTTAAACTCATCCATAATCTAGAAAAAAAGAAAAGTAGAAAAGAAAATTACCATGTCATCCAAATCTAGAAACAAGAAAGATCAGCAGAAAATGTAATTTTATCTGAAATCAAGTAAATATTAAATTCCTTCTTCATTTACGACGTTACATAAAACCCGACTATGTCAACGTCTATCAAGTTAGTTAATTTAACGATATATCTACCCTACACACACACACAATATATATATATATATTATATATATATATATTAAAGACATTTTTATGTTTAACATTCTTTTTATAGATAAAAAGTATTTAAGCAAATGCTGTTTTTAAATAAGGAGCGTTCAGTAGGCAAGGTCGAATTTACTGCTTATAAACTTCGACCTTACCTACCGAACGCTCCTTTGCGGCCGAGTCGGTTAAGGCACGTCAGCGTAAATGACGGTTCCGTATAGGATACAGGTTCGAATCCTGTCAAAGGACGAATATTTTCTATGAAAATTTTTCGGACATTCAGGCCGGTAAATGTTATTTAATACTGTTTATTATAAACAGTGCATTTACTTAAATACTTGTATCTATAAAAAAAGAATGTTAAACATAAAAATGTCTTTAATAAATTGTCGGACTTTGTCCAATTCTTAATGTATATATATATCGACTGGTGTGTATTTTTGTTTTTATTTTAAATCTATCATGGCCTATAATATAAAATTTCTTGCTTTTTATGCCATAATACGTTTCTGTACTGTTTCAAACATATTTAAATATGTATATGTATATAAACGTCAAATAAGCCAAAACTCAGGGTGAATTAAGAGAAATATAGACAGCTTTACAGAACGGTAGACATAAGCCCGATTTATACGTCTGATTTACGCTAGAATCAAAAAGTTTCTACCTGTTTCTGTAAATATCCACCCGAAAGGTGACCTCTTTTCTCGGAAGATTTTACACTTCTGCAAGGGATACAGTTAGGGTATTCTAAGTTCCACCGACAGAGCAATATTCTTTTCCATCCAAAACTCAATGCAAAGAAATCTAATAAAATGATCAGCGAAAAAAGAGTATTTTTTGTCATTGCAGGAAATCAGAATTTTGGTAAAGAAAAAAATAAATAAGAATGAAACTAGTCAGTGCTTCGTAACTCTTTGTTAAAAATACGATACTGTGATTATTCTTGTATAATACGCACCCATAGCTCTAGGCTAAGAAGATGGGAGGGGAATCTTCTCTTGCGTATAATACATAGTCATGTTTTAGATTTTCTCAAGCGGACAAGTTTAAATTTAATATTTATTTAATTTTTTATTTCGTTCGTATCGACTAACAATAAGAATTAAATTACGTTTCGAAACGTAAAATTTATATGGTATTTAGATCACATTTCAATGGCTAGAGGCTATTTCTCTGTAGCGGGGTAAACCAGATGTGGACATAACTCCTTTTTTTGCGAGGAAGAAGGACAAAATCACTCCCTGGACAACGACGACATTGAAGATGACGAAGACATTTACTTCTATGTGTCACGCCCCTTCAGGACATAGGCAATCATGACCCTCCACAAACTTTCTATCTCGTGTGACATTTAGCAGTTTTTCTCCCTTTGTTAAGGACGCCCTCATTTCACCATAGATTCACACAATCTTTACAGATAAGTGGCTCACTGCTTTCCCCTAACTCTCTTGCTCTCAATATGCCCCGTGAGGGTTAAGTATTCGACATCCTTCCTCATTATGTGTCCAAAGGATATTTTCCTGATTCTGAATATGTACTCTTCCCGTTTCCGTCTTCTTTAAGCCTTCCTTGTTGTTTACTCCTTCCGTTCACGGAATTCTCAGTATCCTTCTGTAGAACAACATTTCTGCTACCTCTAGTTTGTTTCCTCATCCGTGGAGAAATTGTCCGACATTTGCTGCCATATGAGAAGATGGATATGAAATAGCACACCAGCACTCTTTTCTCTGTTTCTAACGAACTTCCCCCCGTTTCTAAGCACCGCACCTTGTTTAGCTTTTGGATTGCCTCTAGCGCAATGCGTTTTCGGATAACGATGTCGCCTTTTCTATCCTCTGTTAAAACGCTTCCCAGATATTTGAACCTGCTTGATGTTTGTATCTCCAGTTTGTAACTTGGGATTTTTCTTTTGCTGATGACCATACTTTCTGTCTTCTTGCAGTTGACAGTCCTTTTCACGCTCTCTTTTACCATCCTCTGTAGGAGGTTCTGTAGCTTTCTTTCCGAGTCGTCATCAACTCAGTGTCACCTGCGTATTTTATATTGTTAAGATTACCGATAATAAAACTTAACGACTTAATTTATTTTCTTTTTGTATGTAAGCGGTTTCTCCTAGTACAAGTTCTGGATTATTCTAACATCTTTTTCATATAGATCAAGATTTCCTAGCAGTTTAACGTCCTGGGTAAGACGTTAAACTACACCGAGCAGCAAGGCCTTTGATCAGGAGGTTTTCAGGAGCGTGGAACCACCTCTTAATTGCTGGTGTTCCCAGCTCCACCCCTAAGGTTGTAGCACCTGTTAGGGTCACAGCTATGGGCAAATAGTTAAATATTACCAGCAATACTTTGTTGAGAAAAATTATCACCAGCAATACAATTTTGAAGGAAAAATATTACCAGAAACAGATTTTTGACAAAACAAAATATTACCAGCAATAAAAAATGTTGTCAGCAACACACTGAGGTTGATAAGCCGTAAAACAAAATAAACCAAACCAATCTAAAACAAAGAATACATATTCTATTCATACAAATCTATCCAAAAATGTTGTCGGCATTAAATAACCCATTGAGGTTGATATGCCGTAAAACAAAATAAACCAAACCAATCTAAACCAAAGAATACATATTCTATTCATATGAATGTATCCTAAAAATGTTGTCGGCATTAAATAACCCATTGAGGTTGATATGCCGTAAAACAAAATAAACCAAACCAATCTAAACCAAAGAATACATATTCTATTCATACAAATCTATCCTAAAAATGTTGTCGGCATTAAATAACCCATTGAGGTTGATATGCCGTAAAAAACAAATAAACCAAACCAATCTAAACCAAAGAATACATATTCTATTCATACAAATCTATCCTAAAAATGTTGTCGGCATTAAATAACCCATTGAGGTTGATATGCCGTAAAACAAAATAAACCAAACCAATCTAAACCAAAGAATACATATTCTATTCATATGAATGTATCCTAAAAATGTTGTCGGCATTAAATAACCCATTGAGGTTGATATCCCGTAAAACAAAATAAACCAAACCAATCTAAACAAAAGAATACATACTCGATTCGTATGAATCTATCCTAAAAATGTTGTCAGCATTAAATAACACACGGAGGTTGATAAGCCGTAAAACAAAATAAACCAAACCAATCTAAACGAAAGAATATATATTCTATTCATCAGACAGTGGTTTCTCCTATAAAGGATGACGCAGGTTCGAACCCTACAGGAGAACACGGTTTCTTTATCAAGTTTTCACGAGGGATCAGGAAAATGTAAACGTAATAGACATTGTTTGAAAATAAAGGGGTGTCTTTTTTAAAGATGGGTACCCACTAAAAAAATAACGTCTGATGTAATATATGTATGCTCAAATTTATTATCATGCAAAAGATCGCATTAAATAAATTACCTTTTATCACAGGAGACGACGTTTATTTATAAAACGCATAAACTATTTAATATAATTATTTTCTCGACGCTGTCAAACTCGTTGGCAGTGAAGACTTGGATTCCGTGAAAACAGAGCGAGCAATAACTGAGTAGTGCTAAAATAATAACCAGAGGAGATATCTTTAAACATAGTAGTGGAACAAGAACAGCCTGCCACCATAGATTGAATAAAGGGTTCTGTTCCTAGAAGGTTATTCGGATTGATAAGCACCTGATGAATACTGGAGATCACAACGAGTGAAACAATGTGATAATAACAAAGATGAGTACAATAACCGCATGAAAATAATAATTCTTCATCCTTCAAAGAGGACTTAGAAGATATGACACTCACGGGAAAGTAAGAG